AATGCAAAAATGCCCCCGCCGCGGCGCGGTGCATCATCAAACACCCTGGCTCTGCCACCGAAGTCGCCATTCGTCAAACTTCAGGGCCAACTTTGTTCACACAAGCCAAGCAAGCACGCGACTAATTTTACCCGAGGGAGCTTCACCAACACCTCTTACATAACAAGGTCGTTGTGCACTGCGTAGTGTGAGACCAGTGCGGGGTACAGATTGGACCCGAGTGCTGCGTCAGCGCTCGGCTGGTACTCGTGGCCAATCAGTGGGGAGCCGAATCCGAGCCGAACGCTGATGCAGCATTCGTGTCAAATATTCGCCCAGTGCTGGGCTTCGGCAGATGACGTAAACAAATCCAGTACTGCGGCCAGGGTATCCATGAGGTGTTGGCTCACCTCCATCAGAAGGCCATAGGCTACGTTTACATGGATGCGACAGCAGCGCATCGGATCCAGTTAGCGAATCGGATCCACTTGAACCACTAAGTCTACATGGATTCGGATCGACCAGCAGCGGCACCTCGTGTCGAAGGACCACAACGCAAACCTCGTGACCTTCGGATTGTTTCCGAGGTGTCCGGTTTGCCTAGCGGCAGGCGAAGCAAAGCTCCAGTAATCCCTCGCTCGAGCACTCGATTCGATCCGCCAGCGTGTACATGGAAAGTCTCGATTCGGATTGACCATCTCAAACCACCCCGTCCCAGCGGATCGGATCGACTCCGATCCGATCCGATCCGAGTTGTTTACATGGACCGATTCGATTCGTTAACTGGATCCGATGCGCTGCAGTCGCATCCATGTAAACGTAGCCATAGAGAGCCTATATTACATAAAGTTTGTAGAATGCTCTTCGGGGTCACGTGGTTTATGAGTCACGTTTGCAACACGAGCCGCGAGGAGCCGACAAACGCGTGTGTCGTCTGCGAACGTCTCCGCCTTCACACCCTCTTTCCTCCTCGCCACGCGACAGCGCAGCGCATGCGCACTTACGACCAATCTTCGCTGGAGGCGTCCGCCATTAAATTGCAAACGCCCCCACGGCTTCAGTTGTGCGTCAATCTAGACTATCTAGACCATTCCGAAAGTTGTGGCACGCCCAGTCGTCTGCTCCACACATTATGACGATGCGAGCATGGCCTCGGAGATTCTCGGCGCGCAAAAATCGGATGTACGGCGCACGAAGGCTTGCCAAGAAATAAGAAGCGAATTTTAGCATTTTGTGAGCCAAAACGCGTACAGCGCACATCGGAAGTAAGCCGGGTATGCAATTACCTTTTTTATGTTCGTTTTATCTTTGTTTGTTTTAAGCTCGCAATTATATTTAAAAAAAAAAAAGAAATAATAAATTGTGCCGTTTCTAGGGTAGATGAAGCGGCTAAGTCGACCCAAGCGTACATCAGAACAGTCCCACAATTCCCTTCGCGGCGCAGTGCAATGTGGGATAGTCGCATGGACTCCTGGGATTTTTCCAAAAAAAAAGTCTATTGGAGCACCTGCGGACGTCGCGAACGCAGACAGCTAGGCGAACCGCCTTACGAATAGAAAGCGTCATGATGTGGGACGGCGCTAGACGGAGCAGGACGCGCATGCGCGAAGATTCAATGGGACGCGACTTACTCCCATGAGTCCCCATGTCGGCGCAGACACCGAGAGTCGGACACCACTCCTGACGGCGTCGACTGACGCCGTTGGCGGCACTCGCGAAAAGGCTCCCGCGGCGGAACCAATGGAGGGCGGAAACGCCACTCACTCGCGGTGCCGGATGAATCGAATGGGCGAAAAGAAAAGAACAGAGCGACTTTCGGAAGCAGCGAGTTGTGAAGACTAGTGACACTAAATAAGCTACGCGTCAGAGTAACGACACTTGGCCATATTGTGGCTTAAGATCATGGCTGCCAGTTATCTGAAGCTTTATCTGAAATCACAAGAAACGCTTCTCCATCCTCCACAAATGTTTAAACAGTTCGGGACAGAGCAAAGCAATGTTACATGAACTTCCTAACACCGAATCTAATGCTGAGGAGGTCGCACTTTTGAATCATGACGATCGGCAGTTGCGTCTGTTCTGCACAAGCCCCAAAATGGCGGCGCCCACAACAATGTCGGGGAACAGAGTGCCGATACTCTAAGCGCAGCTCATTTAGTGGCTCTAGTGAAGACCATTACAAATTATATAGCGCCCCCACCGTCTATTTCGCGCATTATGACGATCCGATGAACGGCACGTGAAAGATCACCCAGCAACATCCCCCTTACTTCTGTTGGGCCTATACAGCGATTGCTTTTCTTATTTTAAAGGTAAGAAATAAGCGCTGTTTTCACGCGCCGAGAAATGAGCCCATTCCTACGACAATAGAAGCGCCCTCACCGCATATAAGCGTTAGAGCAGAATGCTTTATTCACAACAATGTTTTAGTCTCACAACAAACAATCGACGAAATTCCAATTTCATCTTTTTTCAAAGAGAAGCAGCAGCCGCTTATGAATATTCCCTGTGTATCTTTGACTTTTTGTGTTAATCACTTCGTGTAGAAATAAAAAAAAAAATTACAATTATGAAAATTCGACGACAGGATTAAGATCGAATATGAACAGGACGAAACCTAAGTATCCTATCTTACACCCGCAGGTGTAGAATTAGTCAAATTATGCAAACAAAACAAGGCTTACGGCTAGCTGAAATAATAAATAATACACGCGTTCATATTCTACTGTAGGATCACCTAACAGTTGACGCATATACAAACGCATATCTGTGAACGGTGACCTACTGGAGAAGGGAAAGTACGAAATACGTGTTCACGTATAATGATCTAGCACGACAAGTTCCCACTTACCCTAGAGTCTGGGAAGGGGACCAACATCTAGTAAAGACGAGTTTGCTTTTAGAGAAAATTATCTATATGCTACTTCTTGACTAAACAACTCTCTAAATATTTCGCAGTCTCGAGAGGTCTCGCGATTGCAGCGATTGCGCGGTTGATTCACGAAAAAAGCCACTGGTACTCACCATACGAGCACTTTATGAAGAATTGTCGTCGATACACAACCAGAAAAGTTCTAATGTGAAAGAACTCATCATTCCTCAGCCTTTGATTTCTAGAACAAGTCACGTAAACTCGATTTGCCTACACGTGTTAGCAATCTTCAACCTGCTTGTACCACCTGCAGCAGGAAACACCACGGCGACTGATGGCTCCTAGGCACAGAAAAACCACTCAGTTTTGGGGGTCCCCTCGCTGCTCGCGTTTTACCAGCTGAACATTTTACGACTTTATTTCGTCGCTCGAGGGTCTGGCAACCATGTGCGAATCATTTTTCGTAATACCACTATTGCGCACGACCTGCAGGGCCTACTGTGACGGCTCTCTGATTTGCTTCCCCTCACTGCTAGCCAGACAACGACAGTTAAGCCGCAAGTAACACTGCTCATGCGTCCCATAAAAGACACGGGATTCGCTGCAGACACGGTGACAGAATTCTCTTTAGACGTGCCTCAAAACAGTGTTGGCATAATGTCTTTCGCATGATGTATTAGCATTGTGACGGCAATCTTAGGCAGCGGTCGCACCGTTAGCGTATCAGATGCCCGAAGCACACTTAAGCAAATGTGCCTCAAACATGCGCGAGTCGTCATCCCTAATAATTCTGTCATCGTGTCTGCAGCAAACGCTGTGCCTTTTTTTCTTGACGTAGGAGCAGTGTCATGAGCACGGTTTTAGGGTTCTGGCAAAGTTCCAACGGCATCGAGGATGTCCCTGACCTAACTTAGAAAATCGCGAAGCCTCGAATAGACCGTTTCAATAATCGCTTTCGCGCGCTTTCATTTTCGCCTATTCGGCTGTGGAACGCTTTTTGAGCGTGCGCAGTAGCTCTCTTCCGCTCAATATCAGACGCCGTATATAGACGTCCACATCCACAGTGACTCAGCAATTTTGGTTTTGTTTGGGGTAATTAGCACTATACTCCGCTTCACTTTCGAGTCCGACCCCAGCCACAAGACAAACCCAAGATGGCGGCGCACTGACTGTGCGTGGTTGGTTGAGCCGGCGATAGGAAAACGCACGAAGACGACGAACGCCGTGACGATGCACTTTTTCGGGCTGCTTGATTGGCTCCATCGGATCCTAGCGTGGGCTGCGGTCGGACTTTAAGTGAAACGGAGTATAGAAAGGTGATGCATAGTCCCTGACAGCTTCAGGAAAGCAGGGCGTGGCTCATATATCTTCAAGCTTCTTTCTTGGTGATTGGTTCCTCGGCATCTTTATGGGCTGGTGGCGCAACCTCACTGGCTGCGGTGATAGGATGCCCGGGGCTCGCCACACCCTGCGTTTCTGAAGATGTCATAGTGACAATAGAACACGTAAAGCCGCAGTCACAATGCTGATTTATCCTACAGAAGACAGAGTGCTCGCTTCGGACATCGTGGCAGAATTACTTGCGGGCACGTCTCAAGCATGTTCGAAGCATCTTTGCTTCGTACGTGCTTCGAACTTGTCTGCAGACAGTGTGACAGGACATAGCCTCCTATATACAAAGCATGGCAGATCGCCACGACAAGCGGCCGCCGAAATAGAAAAGGTGGAGCGGCAGTCAACGGATGAGAGGACAGCCACTTGACTGACGCCCCCTGCGGCAAGACGCCGAAACACACTTCTCCAGAGCGAACAAGTGTGTTTCGGGTCTTCGCCAAAGCTGTGCACTGACGTCCAGGTTCCCCGAGAAATGGCTCTTTGATGCTCTATGCTACCAGATCCTCGCGCTCCAAATTTGTGACCGTTCACTTTATTGCTCCGCCGTCGAACTGCCAGGCTTTGTGAGAATAGAGGAGGCTATGGAGAGGGCCACTGGCACAAGGAAGAAGCACGCGTCAGACAGTGTCTGAATGACGGTTTGGGTATCTTGTTAAGCGGTGTGACAGCGGCTTTACGTGTTTCGTTGGAGCCACCGATGTCCAAGTGGGGGTTCGAGGAGCGCTCATTGCCGCTCAGAAGCGAGCGCATCGCGATGCCGAGGCCGCCGGTCCCTGTCAAGGCTCGGCCGCGCTGCTCAGGCTCGACGCCGGCGAGCTGGGCGGACTGTCCGGTGGCTCCGCCTTGACGCGCACGGAGCAGAGCAGCAGGAGTCCGTCCCGTCGCTTCTGGTAGTCCAGGATGCTGCTCAGGAGCCGGATGTAGCGGATGGCCAGCCGAAGGATCTCGTTCTTGCTCAGCTTCTTGTCCGGCGGGTGCGTGGGCACCAGGCGCCGCAGCTCCGCAAAGGCCCCGTTCACGTTCTGCTGTCTCCAGCGCTCGCGGCTGTTGGTGAACATGCGCCGGGTGGCCTTGCGGGGCCGCCGGAGGTTCAGCACGGACGTGCCCGACGGGGACGTGGACGAGACGCGGCCGTAGCCGGAGCTGCCTCCCGGCGAGCAGGCCTCTTCGTCGCAGCTGCTGTCTTCGCTGAGGATTCCCCGGTCTTCGGAGTCCGTTGTGTCCGCGGAGTCTCTGAGGGACGTGTCCATGCTGCTGGACCACAGGGCCGTCGAGTGCCGAGTCGTTTCGCCTCCGGAATCCATCGATGCGCCTGGAAGTAGGACGGGGACCTTGTGAGGACACCCGACACGTGAATTCGTCAGCCGCAACCGGTACAGTGTAGCGTTATAACTAGGGCTCCGTGTTTTCAGAGCTTATTTTCCTTGAAATCCGGAGGGTGTTTTTCGGATTTAATCTTCGAAATTCGGAGATTAATTTCGCAGTGTTTTTTATTAAAAAATAATAAATAATAACCGGGTGCAAACGTATGCCAGATAAAAAATAAAACGCGTTTGCATCAATTAAGATTTCTTCAGTTGAATTTGGCGTTGGTGTCATTGGCAATACTAATTTGTCCCACGACAAACGTCGCACAATAGTGTGGCTTCCATAAACGTCGATACCTTAAAATCAATAAACAGCCGGAGGTAGCCGCAAGGAAGCTCGTAGTCATCCCATCAATCTATCCCGCGGCCGCGCGAGGTGGTGGTTAAGGATGTAATAGAGAAAATTCAATTGCCCCTTTTTCCCTATTTTATACAATCTCTATGGTCTATAGCTTTCACTGTTACACCCTGAAACATACCTTCTCCTTTATCTAAGTTCCAAATCCCATGGCCCAAACTGGAAAACCAAAAGAGTGGCTTTTGTCGTGACACGAATGGTACGATGACCTGTTTCCCTGAACCAACCATGACGAGAAAATCCGTAAGACCCCCTTTTGACAACGGTCCGAAGCTTGAAAGATAATTATGGTGTCATTTTCCCAGGACCATTAAACCTCCGCTGCTCAAAATGTAAAAAAAAAAAAAAAAAATTGCTTGGGGGGGGGGGGGGGGGAGGAGGGGGGGGTCGCGCGGGCACATAACAATTCGGAGTTTATCGGATAAATCCGGACTGACAAAAATTTTCCGGCGCGTGTTTTACGGAGTTTTTCAGATTTATCCACAAACACGGAGCCCTAGTAATAACTAAAGCCCCTTGATGTGTTTGTGTTCGTTTTACAAGTAAGTCCAAATGTGCCAATGACCGAGGTCCGTGCCCCGTGTGGCCCTTAGAAGCGACTGACGTCGCAGCGCTCGCTCGTGGCACATGCTTTGCACGACCGGACAACCAATGGTTGGTTGTTTCTGTTAGTCGTTCAGGACTTGGGCATAAGAAGTACCTTCTTATGCCCAAGTCCTGAACGACTAACAGAAACAACCTACATCCACAAGCCTCCAACACCAACATGCATGCGAAGGAACCTTTGATGGGCTTAGAATCACTCGGTGCCTGTAAAGAAAGCACGGGTGGTTGCAAGCTCGCCAAATGTACTTCAAGTGCATGCTGCGCGTCTTCGAGGCTTGCCGGTGTTGGTTGTTTCTGTTCGTCGCGTTAGTGAAACTTGGTCATTAAAGTGTGAATTTTATCAAGATGCTTTAAAGCTAAGACCCCAAAAGGGCCATAAAAAAACGGCGAAAAAAGCCGGCGTTTGAATTGCTATTATACCGCTTGGTCGTTCCCTTAACATATTTGGTATATATCACTCTATAGAAGAGAAAATGAAATTCATCTTGATACATAGAAACTGTATGAGTAAATTAGAAATTCAGCTCAATGGAAACATGAGAAAAGTAGCGTTTTTGGCCACACACGGTTTGGTAGTACAATTGGGCAGCGTTCGAGGTTAGACCGAATTTTGTTTAATTTTAAAATATGCAGATGAAAAGAGCTTGCTTTGCATATCGGTGCACTTTTATTGATTTGCATCTTAGATTGAGAGTTGTATCTCTGGCAAACTAGGATTAATTAAAGTAAATTCACAATTAATATCCACAACAACTGCTCGGCTTTCATTCCTGATACTTGTAACAGTTATTGATGGGTGTAGCTTTTAAATGTGTGCGCAAGTTCTTAAAGATTTATGTTAAGCATTTGTTGTAAGCCTTAGATGAAAATGAACAAAACATGGCAACGTTGGCATACATTGTTTCGTAGTACGAATGCACGCCTTTATGTGTCGACAGAAGGTATCTAAACTTCAGGCAGACAAACATCAATGTTTGCTCGTTTGCACAATGTTGCTCTTTTTTCTTCTTTTTTTTAAATTTCGCGTTTAAAGTGCTTGACAAAATGTTTGACACAGCAGCCAAGAATGCACCCTCCTTAGACACAAAATGATAATTTTAATACTGTAAACGACTTAATTTTCGCAAGGACCTAATTTTCGCGAACTTCTCGAACTTCGCGAATTTTACGGGAATTGTTCCCGGGACCTCTTTTTCGCGAATTGTAAGCGAACTTCGCGAATCGTTTGCAACTCGCGAAAAATAGGTTTCGCGACCAATTCCCCTAAAATTTAAACACATAAAAATCTATATTGAGATCTCGCCGAGTCGCGAAAATTAGCACCCGCGAATTATTTCAAAACTTCAGCTTCTACTTTAATCGTGAAATATTGAACCCGCGAAAAATAAGTCGCTTACAGTATATATTTTACCGTTTGATAGATAATGTTAGTATATTCAAGATATATTGTTATCGCACATCAAAATTATAAGCTTCTGAATTCAGTAAACGTTGCTCGGTTTTGACTAAAACCAACAATAAACATTATGGCATATTCTTCGGGAGGGTTTATAGCTGCTTGTGTCATCTGTTGAGTTGTAACCAAAATTGGAGAACTACTTGTTTAGAAAAATTTCTAGGGCGGCGCCAATTTAGTTCTTGGCATATAGACACCTTTCAACAGCTGTGAATTGGCGCAGCCATAACTGACCTTCAGTTCTTGTTGTCTTTTTTATTTTGTATGCTTCTCCTCTACCCTCTGATCGCAAGATTGGTTATTGAGTCTTATTCACAAGAGTGGTATGTCCCAAAAGTTGTCTTGGGGTTCATTCTTTATTACCCGTTTTAATGGCTGAGCATCTCGGTGAAGTAACAGAACACCAATTGTTGCGACACAAATCTGACGCTCGCAAAAAAATGGTCTTACAAACCCCCTTCCCTCGACTTGCGGTGCCACGATGGGACAACGCTCCCTCTATGGGGAATCCACTAGACGCTCTATCTGAGAGCGATGCAGAGCGCATGCTCTGAACGAGCTCACATTAATAGTCTGCTAAAACCTTCAATCCTGTTGGTGCGGAATGCACGTTTAAAAATAACTGCCGAAGCTCGCCGCTCATCACTCGCGCAGACAGCATTGGCACCCAGTGAATACCCCCTAAAGACCTTCCAAAAAAAAAGAGTCGGCTCCATTTTAAGTGTTCGTGCGTGTATGGCGCGTGATTTGCTCGTTTTCCGATGCGATGAACATGCACGTGCTGGTCTGAGGAAATCGCACGCTGGGCTGAGGACTTGCCAATATTGAAATGGTGTATACTATGTTATGGAGCAACTCCATTTCATAATTTCTATACAACGCTGTCAAAGGTAAAGGCGCAAGCGGGTGCGTTCCTCAATGGTTTCGTTTGCGCTAGAACGCGTGCAAATGATCTGCGAGATCAAACCCCATTCTCGCACCTTCGACACCGTTGTACGCTCAGTATATCGAATTATAGGAGGCGCTTTACCGAGCTTGTTGTCCCCACAGCCATTGCCTCCCGGCGCTCCCATATACTGACAAAGCTTGGCAGACCGCTATGAGACGCAGCCGCCGAAAGTGAAAAGGTAGAGCGGCAGACAACGGACGGACGCGCCAGTCTGAGCCGCGATTGCCGACCTTCTCTTGTCTTACCGAAATTCTGAGCTTCTTAAGCGGGCGTTGACGAGCCTCCAGAAAGGCCTGTGCTCGGGAGAAGGACACAGTAACACCTGAAATGGCTATAACCTGTCCTGCTGTGGTAATGATGAAGTGAAGCGAACGGAATAAGAGAGAGGCAAAAACTGAAGGTCGGTCATGGAGGCTCCATGCACAGCGGCCTGAAAGCGTCTATAGGAAGTATGCACTGGCGGCCATAGCTGTGTGTGCGACTGCTGAGCGCGTGCTGATGGCTAGCTTCCAGGGTTCTTTTACAACGTGCATTCCACACCGTCAAAATGGCCGGTCTTAGCAGCCTATTAATGGGGGGCTCGTTTTGAGCATGCGCTCTAGACAGCACCCACAAATATGGTGCCCAGTGAATACTCCTTATAGGCTCCCTCCGGGAGCCAGAGCTGCGCGTTCAGCCATCTTGAAATCCCAAGTTATACGGGAAAGCCACTCCTCGCGCGTGCAAGAGCCGTGCTCCGTCGGTTACGGCCGGTCACGTGAATTGATTCGGCGAATTGTGGCGCCGCGCGCGCCATCGCGCATGGAAAACAGGAAAGGAGGAGAGGAAGTCAAAGGCAGGGGAACCAACACCGAGGCGCATACAACGTCGGTGAAGAGACTTTCCTGCACGGCATATAGGATTCTTTGCTCCTCACGTGATCGGATCACGGCGAATAGTGGCGCGGCGGCGCGTGGAAAACAGACGCGCAACTCTGGTTCCCTTAGGGAGCCTATACTACATCTCACAAATGACTACAGTAAAGACAAAGTCACACACGCGTGAGGGTATAGCTCAGCAGTATGCTTGAGCTTGTACGAGGACTCGTGCATAAGAGGCACATACCTGGGCCCCGCGCCTGGGCCCAGGTATTTGTCGTCACCGCAGATGTTTGTGAGATCCATGAAGTATATTCACCGCAATCAGCGGGAGTTCGTACCATGAGGGCGCCACAGTATTCGGTGCCCCAGTAGACTTCGGGCAGTGTGCATATTTCTTTCTCCAGCAACGCACAGTGATCGGGCAAGAAGATTTCCCTTCGGAGAAGTAACTGTAATACATAGAACCTTCGCTCTTTGTAGAAGGTAGTACAAATAACTAAAGCTCAACTAAAACCCGTAACAAAAGGATCTAAGTCAAAAGAAAAAAAAAAGAAAAACATGAAGCGCCCAGGGGTCCGCCGCGAAAGGACGGCAGTGAGTTTGTTTGCAAACAAACATCTGTTAATACAGGAACTCTAGCGCAGACCAGCTTGGAGCACGTAGGGTGCCTCAATGATCTTCTAGGAGCACGTAAAGCGAGAGCTCGCGCTGCAGAA